GAGAGAGAGAGAGAGAATGAAAAAAAGCAATCTCGGAACGTACGCGTTTGGCATGGTGGCCCTCGCGCGTGCCGCGACGCGACGCGACCCGACGCGCCGCGACGTGCCGCGACACACGTGACAGTGAACAGTGCAACGCGTACTGCGCGAGCGACGCGCTTGGAGCCGCGAGAAGGCACCGAGAAGGCACCGAGCAGCTCGCGTCGTCTTGTTCGCGGCTTCCATCGTCGCGACGCAGTTTTGAGCCGTCGAGGCTTTCGTAGAGGAAGGCTTGAAACGTAGAGGAAGTGAGGCAGCCGAGAGGAGGAAATCAGCTGCATTCATATTAGCACTCAGCTGTACGCTCAGCACGAGCGCGAGTTTGCGACGCAAGGAAAAAGAGAAACGATGAGTTTAAGGAAAACGTCACGAGAAAGATGCAACGAGATGCGCGCGCGTGAATATACGAGCGCGTGCTGTCAAGAAGGAGGCAAGTTGCGATAATGCGTGTCCCCCGCGAGCTGCAAATACAGTCAGACGAAAATATCTCACGTGCGTCGAGAAATTGATAAGGGAGAGAAAAAGAGAGAGGGAGGGAAACGCGTAGGGGGAGGTCGTTTTCGGAGCACGATGAGGGAATCGAGGAGATGACCGGTGAGGAACGTCATCGGGTGAGCGAGCAAAAGTAAAGCATGACGGTCCCGAGGAAATCTAGAGCGATCGAACGGCCCGCTGCGACGAGAGGGGCGTCGAAGAGGCTTTAATTATTCGAGCATCGACGTATTCTCTCGCGGATTTCACTTCAGCAGCGGCAGGTCATACGGTGACGTAGTTCTGAGGTGGGCTCATTCTAACGAATTTGTGCTAAATTATGCGGAGACAATCAAACATATTATTATATTTGAACAATATTATTGCAAAAATGAGATAATCTCTATTGATCTTTCCTTCTTCTTTCTTTCATTATTGTTGACTCTTGACAAGCATTTTTATCAAAATTTAAATCTGAAAATAATTTTTAATAGTGTCTTGATAATCTCTTGATAAAGAGAGAAGGAAGATGGCAACATTCTTGTGAAAGATAATCCACAAAGTTGGAAAACAAAATTAATTATACAATAACTACAGCTGAGTACGCGAAATTTGAACTCAATTTATTAAATACTATTACGTTTGTAACGAGAGATAGAAAAAAGAAAAGACAGCGGGAGAGAGGGGGGAGGGGGTTACAACTCATTTTTGCATAGCTCTCAGTTAAAGTAGAAGAGAAGTGAAAGCTCTGAATAAATGTTGGTACGAAAGAAATTCTTTTGTAAGAATCTCTTTTTCTCTATCGCTTTTTATAGATCCGTCTCGACGTATGTCGTATGTGTGTAGACTTTCTGTTTGTTGTTTGAGTTTGTTGACTGACAATGATCCAATAATAGGTTCTAAGCACAGCGTGCACTTTGGCGTGAAATTTTCTTCCATACCAACATCCACTTGCCCTTGACGGCGCGGGGGTTTTCTCACTCCACTCTACTGCTTTAATTAGTCGAATTCACCGTAAAGGGGCTTGAAACAACCATTGTTAAATCCTATCGTACACGTTGACGTAAAGTGCAAGTGGTAACGGTGGCACGCGCTCTGTGATTAAATCCCGACTGGCTTCAACGTACTTCACCGTTCGAAGCTTTGATTAGAATCAGTTTCCGTTTCAAACTAATTCGATTAGACCTGACATTTCGAACGGATTCGTTAGAATGATTTTCTACATTGAACACGCGCCTATTATACCGCTAGAATATGTATTATGATGCACGAATCAAAATGCAAATTATAATACGAAAAATTATTCGCCGGAAGCGAATGTGTCCGATGATTATATCACAGATCTGATGAATTTTGATTAGTTTCTGTTAAATAGAGTTATCTAAAAGGAATTAAAAATAGAAGAATTATCAATATTCGTTCGAATAAAATCGTAACCGCTGCGTTCCCAATACGATTAGACAAGATCAAATCAACAAATTTTTTTTTTTTTTTCATGACTTGTGACATTTTGCCTGTGAAAATTTTCGTTTCGTCAGTTTTTCTTTCTCTCGAACGTTTTCTAGCGTATTAAATCTGAAATGTCGCAGCCTCCTCTATTTAAAGTGCAATGCCTCGTAAAACTGTGCCCCACTTCTCTTATTCTTACGTTTCATTATGCCACCGATTCTAACGCCTGTACGACGACGATAATAGCGTTTCCGCGATCGACTTGCCTTGACAGAGACAGACCGCGTGACGTATCACTCGCGGCTCGAGGACAAGAATACCGAAGACGACGCTCCGTCCTCATTCCTCAGTTCGGTCTTCGCGCCGCGCAGTCTATCTTCGTCAGAGGACTGCATCCGATGTTCGGAGTCCGCGTGTTGTCACATTGCACGGACGTCAGAGGCATCGGATTTTACGGGGAATCTCAATAGCAAACTCTTGCGATGCCGTTGAATATACGAGTAAATACGAAAGCCTCACATTCATTGGAACTATCATTAGTATGATAAGTCTCATTGCGTTATCGTTCAGTATTATTCGTGAAACTTGATACTACTCTAACGTTTGTCACATCCGAAAAGCTAATCAGACACAGATAAGAATAGTTATCCTGCGATTGTAATTATCAGAATTAGCTCTCTGTCAAAGAGAAGAAATATAAGTTTAAGTAATATATTAGTAATATATTAGTTCTAACAGTAACGCATTTTTTGATAAATGAACTATACAAATACAATGATACGTACAATGATACAATGATATTTGTTACGTATCGCGGGCACGGTTCTTTCGGTAGTACGGCCCTGCGTTCTAAGCAGCATAGACATTTGACGTTTCGCGAAGGTCGCGTGTTCCAACTCTCCCCCTCTCTCTCTCTCTCTCTCTCTCCCTCTCTCTCCGTCTCTCCTTTTTTTCTCGCGACTCCGAACGCACGCGTTCTCCGCTCGCGTCTCGCTTCCATCTTTTTCTACTTTGTTCTCCGTCTGTCTTCCACACGGCGTGTACGCACACGTATGTACGTACATACATACCTCCCGACATTTAACGATCGTTACGCGTTCAATTGTTCACCGTCGTCACACCGCCGAGAGGCCGCGCGCGCCTTTCTGACGAACCGAGCCGCTCGTTCCGCGACGATATTTTCCGCGTCGCGTTATCGGCGTACGTGACATTGAGGATCGCCCGAGAGAGAGAATTGCAACGTAACAGAACGCGGCGTTGGCCGCCGCTTGCTATCGTAGATATCGCGACGTCGCGATGCGCCGCGCCGCACCGCGCCGCGGCGTCGATCAGCTGGCGTCGTTCCGTCTCTCTCCCTCCGCACGACGCCGGCAGCGTGGGCACCAGCGCTCCTCCTCTATGCTCTATCGTATGCGTACATCCAGCCGAATGCTAATGGGGCGTGCAGACGCGCGTTAGACATTTGTTTGACGCGTGGATTATGTATAGGATGCCTGGGAAACTCGAAAGGCCTGAAAACTAGACGAATGTAAGTTGAAAAACTTATGTTCTCAAAATAAATTTGCGAAGGGCCGCATAATCGCAGATGCGGATTTGCAGAATAAATTTAGGAGATCGCAGATAAATTGTATATTGGACAAATTTAGTCAAGTTAAAATTTTTACATACATTTTATTTTATTTTGTGTACATACTTATCTGTATTTGTTCAAGTTTTTATCTTACAAATATAAATCGTTAACCTAAAATTCGTATTAATATCTTATTATGTTATTGCATCATTATCATATAATCGTATTTAGAAAATGTAAAGTGAAATTTTTTGCCTTTTAAGAGATATATTACTTTCTTGAGAATAACGCAAGGATATCAAAATTAATATAACTGAATTGCTTTATTTTGCTTCTTAAGTATAGAATCACTTTATTGATAAATTCCCAGAAGATCTAAATGTGATTATTTTTAAATTTTATACAATTATTCTAGAAATATTACGTTGTTATAGTATTTCCAGAATATATTACTCTTATTATCTTTCACTCTTTTG